TTTTTTTTCTTGATTACAGAAGTCAATGCATGTAAATGTTATATTTTGTAGTAGAAAAATACTCCAAAGCTCCAGAAGAAAAATAAATAATAAGAGCTCCATAAAGGGAGTATTGAAAGCCTTATAAAGATTGAATATTTTGGGAGATATACCTAATATTCTATTACATTGAGGAATATTATTTTGGTTATAAACAATGCCATATTGCATCACGAGTCTATATATTTTTAAGATATAAGAGATTCTTTTCTCTTGTGATAAAAGAAGTTAGTATAGATATACTTTTCTTGTTATACAAAACTAACAGATAGCTCCAGAAGAGCATTGCATAATAAGAGCTGCATAATAGAAGTAATAAAAGTCTCATAAATATTGAATATTTTGAGAGAATAGTTATTGTCCTGCATTGATGAATATTCTCTTGGGTATTGACAAATTCTTATTGTTTAGGGTGTCTCTATTAATGTTTAAGATACCAGTGGAAATGAATATTACATGACACTTGATCGAGATTTGTTTTTCACGTAAACCAGAAGTTTACTGAACTAATTTTTATTTTAAACATAACTAATTAAATTATCACGATTTAGTTTGTGATGTAAAAAAAAATCATTAAGAACTCAAGTGAGTACTATTTGAAGGACTAGAAGTTTCTGTTATTATTAGGACCAGAAGATCTTATAGCCTTGTTCTCATTAGAAGATAATTATGAGATTATTACTAATGAAACTTGAGATTCATTTCATACATAATAAGGAATTGTTCAAGTAGAATTGATTGGGTCCATCAACTATTCGTGATGACAATTTAAATGTTTTATATGATGCATCATTACATTCGTCATATTTGTTGATGATTAACTCGTAACCCGAAGTTTATGAGATTTATTCATATATCATTTTATGGACACAATTTCTAGATTATGTTTAACATTATTAGTCACAAAAGAGCCTGCAGCTCTAGTTAATATGCAAAGTGCAGCGAATTAGTGGCTATACTTTTGATTATGAGAACAAATCATTTTATACTAGATTTTGAATCTTCATTTATGTGGTAATTATTTGGAGCGGATGCTTAATGGGCTTAATCTAAGATAAATTATCAAAATACCACAATGGTAGGTAGACACTGAGGGAAGGTTTTTGAAGAAGTTGAATGGAAGATAAATTCCATGACATATGCTAGATTATATATATTCTTCAATTAAAGAAAAGATGTGAACCAGAAGTTCAAGAAAGAAGATTGTACTAAGATATTGCAAATAAAGTGCTCATTACGAATTTTATGTGTCAATTGTAAACACTTTGGTTAGAAGTGCATTCTTGATATTTCTCAACCATAAAAAAAAAAGGTCTTATTATAAGGAACCTGTAGTTCCAACATATGAGAACTTGAAGTTCTTCTTCACATGTATTTTATATACACATGTTCAATTTTTATTAATCCTTTCCTATAAATAAAATGTCAAATCTTCAAAATTTTGAGTTTCTTACTCTTTATATCTCCCGAAGAGAACCAAATTTGTCCCTTTTGACAATATTTGATTGTGTGTCCTATGTGCCCCCTCCCCCACAATGCATCCAAGATGATATAAGAGAAGATTGGGTAATTGACATTAGTTTTAACTCCTCGTCAATCGTTAAATGTTAAGAGTTTTTTTTGACAAGAGATATATATATACATCACAGTATGTTGATTGTCAATTTTATGATAAAGAGATAAAGTATTCCCAGTCTTAGGGGGAGAGGTGAATAAAGAAAGACTGGTAATATAAGAAATTACATGGAATGCATCATCATCGTAAAATTTTGACTCCTAAAGTGGTCAGTGCGATTTTGAAGTCCGATTTGCAATGTAGAGCAAATGAATTATGAGATGCATTCACACATATGAGTAGAGTGATATACCAGCATCTTATGCACCGCTTAATCTATGAAAGTCCCAGAAGTGACTATTATACAAAGAAATTGTGGGAGAATAATCAGCTTCAAAGACATGAACCCACGAAAATGAAGATAGCAAAAATGCTATTAGTGAAACCACATACATGATTATGAGTGATTCCCCAGAAGAGGTAACTGTCCTAGAAGAAGACTAATGCTATTCCAGAAGAAAATGAAACTCCAGAAGAGGTAAATGTCTTGGAAGAGACTACTATGATTCCAGAAGAATAAGTTTCCTAAAGAAACATCGATACCGAAAGAAAATGAGATCTCTATTAATTATGTACGAGACTGTACAATATGGAACCAAAATGAAACACGTGTTAATGATATTCTTCCATATGCTATGACAATGGATGTAATCAATAAAAGAGATTACATGCCTAAAACTCAAATAAGAGTACATGTAAATAGTACATAAATGATTTGCCAAATGGCAAAAGACCCTGAAGGTCGAATATAAGTCACTCGATAAATGAAATATTTTCGGACCTGAAGTCTGAACACCCATAGACGTCAAACCAATAGGTTATAAATGGGTGTCTATAATAAACAGAAATAAAATGAATGAGATTGTGCGATATGTAGTACTATTTGTAAGGCAAGGGTTTTTCCCAAATCCTAGGAGTTGATTATGAGGAAATGTATTCTCCAGTAGTGGATGCAATATCTTTTTAGAATTTTAATTGGCCTCGCAATCTCAAAAGGACTTCAAATAAATGATATGGATGTCGTTAACATAATTATAAGGGACACTTGAAATCGACATCTGTGTGATAATAATCCCTGAAGGATTCAAAATGCCAGAAGCAATAAAATTAATACATCGAGATATGTGTGAAGAGATCGTGGAATGGTCTCAAGTAATCTGGTCATATGTGGTACAATTGACCTAGTGAATATCTCGAAAAAGAAAGATAACAAATTTGAAATCAACCTATGTGTTGTCATTCAAGGATCGCTCTCAATATTCNTTAAACACCTATATGATAGCCCATTTGTCCATAAGTTAAACCACGTCCAGAAGATGTTAACACGTTGAAATATGGATAAAGCTAGTCTTTTGAACATACCCATGGTTGTTCATTCATATATATATACATAACATTCTAATCGCCTCCCAGAAGAGGGCGAAGAAGTACTTGGTCTTGAAGTACCAAATTTAAGTGTGAAATTAGACAGGTAATGTGTTCACCTATGGTGATACAACTTTTCTTGGAAGTCAACTGAGCAAGCACGAACAACAGCATGTGATCAAGCCGAACTGATAGCATTATACGACAGTGATCGAGAGCGAGCGTGGTAGAGATTGCTGATGAATCTCATACAAGGAGCATATAATTTGAAAGAAATCAAGAAGAATGCTACGATTATATATAAAGATAACACAACATGCATAACTCAAATCAAGGAAGGCTACATCAAGGGAGACAGAACGAAGCAAATCTCAGCAAAGTTTTTCTCAACATCTGATCTGCATAAAGAAAGAGAGATCAATGTTCTTCAAGTTAAATCAAGCAAAATTTGGCGGACTTATTCACCAAATCTCTACCTAGACACAATTTTGAGCAACTCAGAAAGAAGATTGGACTTCGCAAGCTAAAAGAGATAAATTAGTTTGAGGGGGAGTATAAATTATTTTGAGGGAAAATATTATACACGCTGTACTCTTTTTCCCTTAACTAATTTTTGTCCCATTGGGTTTTCTTAGTAAGGTTTTTAATGAGGCAGCATAACTGATCCTGCAATATCAGTTAATATAGGTCCTGAAGAACCTAGCCAACATTATCCAGTAGCATAATGTTGTTGGTGTATAATGCATGATGATATATCTGAAGGGGAGTGTTAAATATGGCAGATATATTTCTCATTCTATTTAGAATATATTGTTTCCTTATTGACATAGACTATACCTCTCCCCGTGTATGTATAAATACCCCCCGTATATGATGAATAAAATACTGAGTTCACAACAATATATACATATATGTATTTTAAAAAATATATATGTATTTTAAAAATTATATTTGTGTCATTTTAACTATATGATAATTATATTTTGACAAAACAAATTTATATATACACACACACAAGGAATTGCACGCGCATTGCGCGGGTTTAAGTGCCCGATCATGTTTTTTGCAAGATTTTTTGTTGTTGTGAATACTTGTTTGAATATTGTATAAAATATTGTTCACCCATTATTAACCATTTTATAAATATTTTATAAAAAATATTGCTTGAATATTTTATAAAAATATTGTTTGAATACTTTATAAAAATATTGAATATTTTATAAATATTGTCTTAAAATTAGGGTCAGAAATTTGTGAAAGTCATATTCTAAACCAATGATAAAACTAAATGAGATTAATGGTAACAAGAATACAAATTGTGGAGAAATAATATCCCTAGCAATAAATAAGAAGTTGCATGCATCCTTTGTTCTTGGAATTAGTTTTTCATTATTTTGTAGTTTCTTGTGCAGGGTTCAAAGGTAAGATGTAAATTATTAACCAATGAGTCAATACAAAGTATGCATACAGAATATATACATACAATGCATCGGGGCATACCCGTTTAACACGAATGCATTAGGGGTAATGCTTTGATACTCAGCTTGTTTGAGGTCCTTAAGAAACCTATGCTCAGCCCACAAGTACATCAGGTTTTCCACCCCATTTATCCATTGCTTGCTTTCGTGTTTCTTTCCCTATCACTGCATGGAAGTGTGTTTTGAGGAGGTGGAGTTGGAAGAAGGGAAGGCAGTCCATGATGTCTCGTATATGTGATCTCACCTAGATCTCATTCTTGAAAAGCACACTATCCATCCCACCCATGGTAAGTATATGATTATTCCAATCTCGAGGCCTACAACTCTTGATTCGGGGCCACCTCTGAATGTTTTAACTGCCTAGCAAACAAAAGTGAATATTTATTCAATGAACGAATTAAAAGTTACCAACACCAAATCTAAAAGAACATGTGTATATATTGACCCTTGTTTCAATAATTTTTCATCAATGATTTTTGTCAATAATGACTACCCAAATTGATCAACATGTTGCAGTAGACTAACTCATATTTCATGATCATTAGAAGTTAAATGTTTTACAATTAAGGTAGTACATATGGACATGAGAAATCGCAGCTTAGAATAAACAATCTGCTGTTATCAAGTAGGAGCTGAGTAAGAGTATGACCTAGAGATTATTCTTCTGCTAAAGACATTGGGAGTATTTCCTTATTTAAATTTCATTGAATTTTTACATCCATCTATCATTTCATGCTTTTACTTTTTGTGTGGCCCATATTACATTTGTTCTCTTATTAATAAGGTTAAATTAGTAAAACAACAAATGTCTCATTTATTTTAAGCAAAAGCATGCCAACTCTTAATGAAGGTTATATAAGTATAGAACGAACAGATTACATGATTCACATAGCCTAGGTGCCAACCCAACATAGACTTAAGAGTCAACTCCCGAAGAAAAGCAGATGTTTCATCATGAGTATAAACGTAACCAAAAATAATGTAATGAGCATCAATACTCTCATTGTTATTTCCAAATAAAATGTGTCTATATTGACCCTTATTTGGTTATTTCAATACTTTTTCATCAATAATTTGTGGCGATAATGACTACCCAAATTGATCATCTGATACAGGTAATGGGTCACCCAACATGGACGAAGGGCTTGAGCCAGACGCACCCGTTCCGGAGGACCCTAGGCCTAGACATAGTGGACGTGACAAACGACATTTGACATGGCATACGGATTATATCATTTAGTATCATTATTTTATTATTATTATTATTGTACCTTAGTCTTTTTTATTAGGTGAGCGTTTTATAAGCTCTTTCGAAGGTTTCTTTACGGTTCTTTACCTCATCGCTTTTCTTGAACCGTCAGGATAGATAACGTAGTTGCTTATGGCTTAAGTTATGGTTTGCTTATTTATTCATGTAGTCTCCACCGTTAATGCAAAAAGAAATAAACCCTAATTCTATACTTCTCTTTTTCCGGAGTTTGAGGACGCTCGAAGTTCCTCTCCTACGCATACGTTCGTATTATTTGGTGCTCTCGTTGCTTTCCCTTATTCATGCGTCTCCCTGACATGGCGTCGGCTCAACGGCAGGAGGCGGTAATCACCGTCTTGGGCAATCAAATTCAGTCCCTACGGCTGGATATAGATGCAAATATCAAAGCCCTTAATGATTCCTTGTATCAACTACAACAAGAGTTGGAGATGCGCATCGAATCCCAATTTCAACGGATGCAATCTACGTTGAATGCAACGGTGGCAGCTCTCGGGGGTTCTTCTTCCGGGTTCGAACGCACGGCAGACTTCGCCAGTGACGACTCTCATGGTCGGCATGCCGATTGCTACACCCCAAAACCTAAGTTGGAGGCACCTCTGTGTGACGGCTCCGAACCGCTCCGCTGGCTATACAAGGTCGAGGAATACTTCAAGTTCTACCAAACTCCTCTTGATGAATGACTTCGTTGTGTGGCTTTGATGTTGGAAGGTCCCGCGGTCGATTGGTTCCGTTGACACATGAACGGACGGCTAATCGCCGATTATGCTGATTTTGTGGACAAATTCAAGTTGCACTTTGCTCCTCTCCAATATGTCGATTATTTTGGGCAACTAGCTAACCTACGTCAAACCGGCTCCGTCATGGAATATCAAACGGCATTCGAACACATATTAACTCATGTTACGGGTGCCTCCAGGGTAATCTGATGTCTCTTTTTCATGCCGGTCTCAAACCCTACCTTTAACACGACATTGCCTTGTTGAAGCCGCCTACACTGTCCGCCTCCTTTGCATTGGCTCGGAAGTTGGAGGCCAAGAACGACACTCTCTTACGGTCTGTCTCATCTCGACCTAGCCCGTGGAACGCCTCACATTTTGCTCGCCAGATACCTCGACTACCCACTCCAGAGGAGTCTTCCCGCCAGCCCTCCACCACCACGCCACAGTTGGGGGGCCCTCCAGTCCGTCGTCTACCTCGTGCCGAACGATTGGAACGCCGTGCTAAAGGCTTATGTTACAACTGTGACCAAAAGTGGTCCAAGACTCACCGTTGCGGTCGTTTCCTTTTATTGTGTGATGATGAGGACGAAGATGTTATTGACGACGGTGTTGCGGAAGCACAGCCCATCTCGGCGGATATCTCTAGTCTCAACACTACGGACGGGGTTTCTACTCCACGCTCTCTGCGTTTGACGGGCCTATTTGCAGCGGGTGTTGTGCACGTGTTAAACTTCTGTTGTTATCAAGGAGTAAGAGTAAGGCCTTGAGATTATATTCTTATGCTGAATGCCAAGAAGCCATTTTCAAAAATGTTGTCAAAGCACATGCAACAATTGACCAAATTGTAGAGCACATGAAAAGAAAGGAAGCGACTACAAGAAACATAACATGTTGAGCCTACTTTCCTTTCATTAAATGCTTCAAATTAAATATTTTGTTGTCGTGTGTTTTCGTGATATGAACCCATAAAAGAGAATGATACTATGTTTTATAAGTGCCATGCAATCTCAAACCACTCGTATAAAATAATGGAAGCATTTTCCTCTGCTTGAAAGCCAAATAGAGTAATATTCCACTCAAATGCACCAACTGTTGTGTAAAATTCCACAACTTTCAAAATTATCTTTCAAAGTATATTCATATATGTGAGTGAGTTATATGATAAAAACTCTTGGTTATAAAACATAACAAGTTTCCTAAAGTTTTAGCTTCACGTTTTAATTCACGTTCTATTAGAGTAAAACTTGAAGTTGCTAGCAATTTTTTTCACCTGGAAAATACCTCAGTATAAAGTGATGGAAAGTACCTATTTTAGCTAGGTATATGGAAACACAATATGTGCTTTTGGGGTGCCAACACATAAAAGTTACATTAATTTGTTTCAATTCCATGTCTATAGAAGTACTCTTTTAGAGTATTATCATTTAATCATCCGGCTAAACATATTTGCAGTGCACATATATATTCCTCTTACATGGAAATCTAAATCTGCTTATAATTGAAATCACTAATTGTAGCCATAAATCACAAATGACCGTTAATTGTCTAGTTTGGCTTTAGAATTTAAGCAAGTAATAAAAAATCTTATCTGCTCATAATTTTAAGTAATAGGAAAAATTACCCAAAATAATCTCAACTTTACCCGGTCTTTCAAAAATAATCCCACCTTTCACTGTAATGCATAATAATCCCAACTTCATTGAAATTTGCCAGTTTTGGGTTCCCGTTAAGTTTCTAACGGAGGGTTAACGGAAATGCTCGTTTTAGGCAACAAAATGAAAGTTGGGATTATTTTTGATGAATTTTTGTTTTTTTAATTTTTTTAAAATTTTTATTTAAATTTTTTGAATTACTTTCAACCTCCATTTCTTTTCTTTTTTAAAGATTATTTTTACCTTAGAAAAAAAATAGATATAAAAAACAATGAAAATGAAAAAAAGAATAAGCCATCTGGTAAAGTTGGAATTATTGTAGATAATTTTTTTCTAAAAAATAAGAAGTGATATGTTAATACTTTATATAGTGCATAAAATATTAAAACCCACCCCCATATTTTTATTTTATTTATTACCAATTTCAAGTTAGTTCCTATTGATTACCTTATTTATTTTATTATTTTTGTATCATTTTAGGTGCATTTCTCATTTTTTCATTTTTATATCTATTATTTTTTTAAACTAAGACTAATCTTTAAAAAAGGAAAAAGAAATGATGATGGAGGTAGAAAGTAATTTTAAAAATTTAAATGAAAGTTTTGGGCAATTTTTTTAAAAAAATAGTAGATATAAAAATTACTTTCTACCTCTTTCTACCTCCATCATCATTTCTTTTTCCTTTTTTAAAGATTAGTCTTAGTTTTAAAAAAATAATAGATATTAAAAATGAAAAAATGAGAAATGTACCTAAAATGATACAAAAAAATAAAATAAATAAGGTAATCAATAGAAACTAACTTGAAATTGGTAATAAGTAAAATAAAATTATTCGGGTGGGTTTTAATTTCTTTTGATTACATTATTTATTTGATTAATTTTGTATGGTTTTAGTTATTTTTTTCATTTCCATTGTTTTTATATCTATTTTTTTCCTAAGGTAAGAATAATATTTAAAAAAGAAAAGAAATGGAGGTTGAAAGTAATTCGAAAAATTTAAAAAAAAATTAAAAAACAAAAATTTATCAAAAATAATCCCAACTTTCATTTTGTTGCCTTAAACGGGCATTTCCGTTAACCCTCCGTTAGAAACTTAACGGCGACCCAAAATGGCAAATTTTAATAAAGTTGGGATTATTATGCATCACAGTGAAAGGTGGGATTATTTTTGAAAGACCGGGTAAAGTTGGGATTATTTTGTGTAATTTTTCCTAAGTAATATTTATAGCCATGATGTGTTAACAGCTCACCTTGTCAAATCTTGCTAACAGCTCCCACCAAAGTTTCATTCTAGTAGTACCATTCTTTCTAGTGGTTCCTTAGGGATAAATAGTATGCGAAGAGATCTTGAACTTTGGTCCATAACTCATTTAGTGTAAATAACATAATTACATAACTAAATATTTACTTCCATTATATCTTTAATTACGTCAACGAGTACTCATCAAAGTAAGGGAAAACCAAATTTAACCTAAAAAAGGCGAAGAAAATCTTCTCTTTTGAACCAAACACACCCTCAAAGACTTAAGAAATAAGTCAGATTTGGTCATATTTTTAAGTGTGCATATTGAAAACTTGCGAGAAACACATCAGGCCTAAACTGATCCAAAGAAATGGCACCCTCAATGACATCCAGAAAGAATTCCTACACAGTCTTAATGACATCTAAAAAGAATTCATGCACAACCTTAATGACATCCACCTTAATAACATCTCATGTTTTTCTGAAATAGAAGCCATTAAACCCATCTGCACCTGCAGTACTATTAGCATTCAATGCCCAAACAGTTTTCTTAATTTCCTCCTCATTTGGCAATGACCCAAGCATAACATTATCCCCAACAGAAAGCACAGCGGGAATATGGCTAAGTATCTCCCCGATATCCCCCTCATGGATGTGAGAAAAAACCTAGTGAATTGATCAACAATAGCCTTAGCAATTTCATGTTGAGAGGTAAACATGAACCCATCATCATTCTTAAGAGAAGAGATAAAAAGCATGCTCCTCCTTCCCTTGACATAAGAATGAAAGAAAGAAGTTGAAGCATCCCCTTGTGATTTCCATCTTACATTAGCTTTCTGGGACCAGAAAGATTCCTCCTTTTTATGTGCTTGATGCAAAAGAGTTGTTGCCAGATTACATTCAACCACATTAGCATCACACACATCATTTTCCATATTCCTTTCAGCTCTTAAAAGCCTCTCTTCTGCCTTTGAAACTTCATCATAAATATTTCCAAAAACCTCCTTACTCCACTGAAGAAGGGCCCTCTTAAGAGCAGCAAGCTTAACAGCCAGACCCCTCATGCCTCCACCTTGATAATTCCTCAATACTCTTTTTTAAAATATTGTTTTGAAATATGAATTTTCATAAGATATGATATTAATGATCAAAATATTAAATTGAAGAATGTTAAAAGTCAAATGAGGTTTAAATCTACTCATACATTGAGGAGTTCTAACATTGTCATTTTTTTCAAGATATGTAGCAACCAAACCCCTTCTTTTCTTAAGCATAAGACCACTAACCTAAATATAAAGTTAATAAAATTCATTCAGGGAAGTATATGCATAATTAATTATATCATAAAAATGGATGGCTTTAAATCACTTTTTTATGCAAAAATATAATTCTAAATCAAAAAAATAGGAAGTTTTCTTTACCCCTATACGTATATATGGTACATAAATTGGTATGTTTAAATAATTCTAAAAATATTATTCATTAACTGTCTCGGTTCGCTTTGTTGTCAAATGTTTGAATAATTATTTATATAAATATATAATGAATTGAAATATAAAAAATTAGACAATAATCTCAAAATAAAAAATATGTTTGATGTAAAATTTATAGTAATTTTTTACTAATATATATTAAGAATTTTCATTGGGCAAACATATTATTCGAAAAATGAACCAGGTGTTAAAAATAATAATAGAGTTACTAATTTTTAAGATTAACTGTATGAAACTTAAAAACAATTAATTTAGCCACGATGTTCAATCAATAACAAATCAAATAGAATAATGTCAAATCACTATTCTGTATATTGATAAAAATTACCAACTCATTAAAATAATAAATAGGTGGGTTCGGTTTATTAAAAATTACCAATTTATTAAAAATGCCAAATTAACTCATGAGTAGGGGTGAGTTTAGTTTTGGTGGTTCGGTTTTCACCCAGAACCAAAGACAAAACGGAAGGTAAGTTGGGGTTCGTTTCGATTCAATTTTGCAAAAAAATATGTACACCGTTGGTTACTTAGTTCGGTTTTTTCGGGGTTTTTGGTTTTTTTCGGGTTATAAAAGTAGAAATTGTAAAAAATTATAAAAACACTAACTCGATGAAGCAATAACACCAAGTAGTGCTGGGTTTGATTTTTTTGGTTTGATTTTTACACA